GATTTACGTTGTATCTCAGTGGGGGGGTGGGGGGGGTGGGGCAGGGGAAGGTTTATATTTTTCATTATTAAAAAACCAGATTGGGTTGATTTAAGCAGTTCCCAAGTATGAATCAAATATAGCAACTAGTTTAGTTAAAAAAAAAAATTGAAAGGGGACAAGTTACGATGAAACATTCTAAAACTATTTTTTTTTGACATTTAGAATGTTATAAACTTTTAAAATGCTAAATTTCACCTAAAGCAGAATATTTATTTTAGGGCTGAAAAAGTAGGGAGAATTTTATTTGAATTTTTTTGATTACTTTTTGAATCAGCCTTTCTCCCTATAGAGTTAATGCAAGTGAAATGTTTCAGATGTCCCTGGGGGAGAATAACGATACGTTAACGGCTTCTGTAGGATAAAATAACAGTGCTGAGCCCACGGGGTTTGTACTGGTTTTACAACAGCGTAAGCAAGAGACAAAAGAATAAACTGCTATATGAATTTCTAAGCCTACCTTTGGAAGGAAAGAGTATATAACTAGTGATTATGTGAATTTCTTCCAATCTGTTTGCGTATTTAGTGCCGAAGTAATTTTATTCACAGAAGGACCTGTTCTTAATTTCCTCCCAGATCCGCTCTCCACAATTTGAGGAATACAATGGCATCTGGCCCAGGGACCCCTTTACTCGATCTTCCAAAATCACCCAGGTGGTTTCTTCATGTTTTGCCCGGCCCTTCAAGTTTGAATACAATAGTGGACGGATTGGAAACATTTATGGCCCAGAAGACTGCCCCGATACGTGCATTAACATAGTGAGAGGAATCCTGAACATGATGCAGATAACCATTAAAAAGTCGCAGAACGTGTATGAATTGCAAGAGGTTTGTTTTTCCCGTTCTAAAACTGCTTCGCTGAGAGGATGTGTTCTCTTTAGGTGCTCTTCCTTCGAGTTTCTGTTTGTTTGCGTCTGCTTGCAAGTGTTCATCATCAAAAAAAAAGACGATTTTCGTTCACACGGAAGAAAATGTGGGCTGAATGAATTATTTGGGCTGGATTCCTTTTAAGATATCTATCTTTAAGACTTAACATGCAGTCCTTTGAAGAAAAAAGAATTATTAGCTATGAATGTATTTGTTATGTGGCTTCCCTGATACAGCGACTTGATCCGTTTTGTTTGTTCATTGTCGATATTAAGGAATTGGTTCCTTTTTCACTTTAAACTCCATCCCCTGACTGGGTATTGCTGATGTGTCTGGTTTTTAGTTCAGCACGATTAATTGTGTGTAATGGGTTTCGAAACATAACTGAGACCGTTCAGTAGGTCCTTACCCTCGTGCTGCTCCTTCAGAATCTTTGCTCCGTAAAACTTCTTCTCACGTGGGGACATCTTGATATAATGGGGAAGTCTCATTGTCCGTATTGATCCGCCAGGCTGGGATTGGAGGTGTTTGCCATACACGGTACATCATCCAGGAAGACAAGAAGAACAGCCGAGTCTCTGTTACCAAAACCGTAGACCAAAATAATTGCCAGGAAAAAGTGAAGAAGAGTATTGGAATGGCTTACATCTATCCTTGTCCTGTCGACATGATGGTACGTGGGGTGTGAAAAGATCTTCCTGATTACGAGCACGGCTATTCTGTTCCCGTTCACTCTTGGGATCTCTCTGTCGTCCTCCAGAAAGCGAGGCTCATTAAAGGGACTGCGGCTTTCTCCTACAAACTGAAGCAGTCGGACAGCGGTACCCTCATCACAGAAGTGGTGTCGCAGCAGGTGTATCAGATCTCACCGTTCAGTGAACCCACCGGTGTTGCTGTCATGGAAGCAAGGTAGGTGGGACACGGGCTTGCTTCCCAAAGTGAATAAAGTGAGAATCATTATAGATTCTGGCAGTCCCTTTCACCCCCAATGGAAGTGAAATGAGAACTGAGCTCCGCAGCAGTTGGGTAAAGCTGCGAGTGCTCGTACTTGGGCGTTCCACACTCCTAAAAATTCAGTGAACCATTCTTTATTTGTACCCTGGTGAACTTGGCACTACAATTACATGGAAGAAAAGGAGAAAAGCTCTTTTCATCGATCATAGAATACCAGGTTGGAAGGGACCTTGAGGGTCATCTGGTCCAACCTTTCTTGGGAAAAGCACGGTTTAGATAAGATGGCCCAGCACCCTGTCCAGCTTATACCAGAAGAATGCAACTTTACTGCTCTGTCCTGAAAAAAGGGAGAATTTGTAGTGTCAGGAGGAAGATGGCACACACAGAAATAAGATTGTTGATTACACTGTTGGTAGTTCTCATTCAGAAAACAGCAGTTTAGCTCCTCAGAAATGATTTCCCTGCAGAGAACTCTAATACTATTGTGTTCCAGTTAGGAGGCTTTATCCATTAGCGACCTGTAAGATTTTACTGTGGTGAGAAAAATGATTGAAGAGTAAAACTGATCCCATTGCAGTATCACGGAACCAAGAAACAGCCTAGGCAGGCGGGGGAAGAGAGCTGATTCATTCCTCCCGTGCCACTTGTCTCTTGACAGACAGCAACTCACCTTGCTCGAAGTGAGAAGCGAACGGGGGAGTGTCCCAGACATCTCCATGCAGAGCTACGGAGGCCTTCGTTACCAGTTCCCATCAGCATTGCCACAGATGCCACTGCAGCTCATCAAGACAAAAAACCCTGAGCAACGGGTAGAGTATTTTTGGGGTTTCCAATTTTTTTCCTAATAAAAAAAAAAAATAGTGATGATCATACGTTCCAAAGGATTTAATTACGTATGCCCTCTCTCTCTCGTCTTTTGTAACAGATAGTAGAAACACTGCAACACATAGTCCTGAATAACCAACAAGATTTCCACGATGATGTTCCGTACAGATTCCTGGAGCTTGTCCAGCTCTGCCGGGTAGCCAGCGCTGATACTCTTGAGTCCATCTGGAGACAATTTTCAGATAAACCGCGCTACAGGTATTTCATTGTACCAACTTATAAGAAACTCCTCCATTTTTGGCGAATTGAGAGCTAAAATTGAGGATTTTTTTTTTTAACCTCCTTGCAGGCGATGGCTGCTGAGTGCAGTTTCTGCGACAGGCACGGCAGAAGCGCTCAAATTCATCAAGACCAGAATTCGCAATGATGAACTTAACTACCTTCAGACTCTCCTAAGTGTTTCTTTTGCTCTCCATTTAGTGAAAGCTGATGAAGACACTGTTCCAGTAGCAGCAGTGAGTAAACCCATGTGAATCTTTCCTATCTGATAACAAAAGGAAAGCGAAAGTGTTAGTGCAAACCTCAAATGTTTTGACACTATAATGAATTCATTCTGAACAGGATTTTTCCCATCTCTAGTCGATGTTCTTCTCCTCAAATAGGAAAAAAGGATGTAATGTGAGAATGCATCACTAATGTAATTGAGTTACGTGTTGCTCTAAGGATATTCCATTTATAGATTAATGTTTACCCATAATCTTTGTATTTTCAGTGTTATGCTCAGTTGAGGAAAAAGAAAACGGTGCTACAGAAACTTGTATAAACGCTTATTTATATTGAAGCTAGTGGGGAATTAAGCTCCCAAGTGAAGCTTGCAAATAAAATGTCTACAAGTCGATTTAATTTGTTTGGATGTGATCAATAATCATTCTGAAACTGCTCCCCGCAGATAAGCTCTGATGACTTTCCTGCTCTGAAAGCGATGTCAAGCGCTGTATTAAACACCAAATTAACTTCTTCACCCTTTATTTCTCCACAGGATTTAATGACCAGCTCTCGGATTCAGAAAAGCCCCATCCTTCAGCAAGTTGCCTGCTTGGGGTACAGTTCTGTGGTCAACAGATACTGTTCTCAGACCTCGGCTTGTCCTAAAGAAGCTCTTCAGGTGGGCGGCTTTTTCTCACGTTACTCTTAACAGCATAGTGATGTTCATTACATTACCTTAATTTTTTTAAGATAGGGTACAAAGATGGCAGTTGGACTTACAAATACACGTTTCATAGGTCTCCTTCAGAACAAAGGCGATGAATGATTTTACTTTGCTTCATTATTGAAAAGGCACTTTTCACATCGTAAGATAAAATCCTGAGCGAAGCCATTACTGAGTAATTTTATTGAGAGCAGCTGGTTTATTGCAGTAGGCTTTTCAGTGGGTAAGGGGAAAGCTGGGGACACAACCTGTGGAAGAAAAGACTGAACTCTGCTTTGCCTGTAGCCCATCCACGACCTGGCAGATGAAGCGATCAGCAGGGGCCGTGAAGACAAAATGAAATTAGCTCTGAAGTGCATCGGTAACATGGGAGAACCAGCCAGCATCAAGCGCATCCTGAAGTTCCTTCCCATATTTTCATCCAGTGCTTCTGATCTCCCCATCCACATTCAGATTGATGCCATAATGGCCTTGAGAAAAATAGCTTGGAAGGACCCCAAAACAGTAAGTGCGATCTGTTGGAGATTTCTTTATTTAATGAATTAGGGAATATCTACTATTTAACAAATTTAACGATATCACATCTGTGGATTCAGCATATATAAAGAAAAGGATTATTTTTAAGAAGAGCACAATAGAATTTTATATTTCAGCTGATGTTTTCTGCTAAGCTGTAAAAATTGTTAGTCAGGAGGAAGCTCCCAGAAGGATATCAGCGGTGTTTCTTGAGTCATCTGTCATAAGCAGTTAAGTCCTGTGCTAGGCCTTAATACATCAATGCATGGACATTTATTTCAGATTCAGTGCCTGCCCTTCTCTGTCGGGCTGTTCCTCCGTGGCCCCTTCAGGGATCTTAACAAAATGATGTGGAACCACGCAGCAAAAACGATCGGGAAACCTTTCTGCAGGGACAAGGGTTGCCTCTCCCACATTTCTTGCAGGTTACGTATGGATCCGGTCTGCAAAAAAAGTCGTAATTCCAGACACCGTTCTCCCTCTGCAGGTGCAGGGATATCTCATTCAGATCCTTGCAGACCAGTCGCTGCCCCCCGAAGTGCGAATGATGGCTTGTGCTGTCATCTTTGAGACGAGGCCTGCCCTTCCGCTGATAACGACGATCGCTAATGTGGCGATGAAGGAGACCAATTTGCAAGTCGCCAGCTTCGTCTATTCCCACATGAAGGCTTTGTCGAAGAGCACTTTTCCGTACATGTACAACATGTAAGTAGGGACGGCGGCGATCTGTCGAGGTCCCTTCCAACCCCTTCTGTGGTTCTGTGACCTTCTGCAAACGTTGAGTTCTTGTTCGCGAGCACTTTGTGCGCTGACAAACCGAATTCAGGCCGTATTCTGATGGGGTGCAGCTGATTTCTGTGTATTATTACCTTTCTCGTTTTGTTTAGATCTTCAGCTTGCAATATCGCCCTCAAGCTGCTGGCCCCCAAAATGGACAGGCTGAGCTATCGGTATAGCAAGGTCATGCGTGTTGGTCATTTCTTTGGTGAGTGAAAGCGTTTCAGTGAGCGGGAAACTTTCGCTTCAGAAATACATTCCGAAGAGACATCAAGTCCTTGGGAGAAATATGTCATTCTGTAGTTCCATAAGAAATTGAATTAAATGTGACAGTCACGTACTTAGAACTGCATGCGTAGCCATTTATTAATTTGGGCCTAAACAGTTAAAATTTCTGTAATGCTGTATCTTAGAGTTGGCAATGAAACAGCTGCAGAAGTATGATCTTGAATGATAAGCAGAATGGTTAGAAAAATGATGCGTCTTTTGTTCACTTCTGCCATAGAGAACTATAAGGTTGGTGCTGCTGGAGAAGTCTTTGTTATGAACAGCCCAGGAACGATGTTCCCATCGGCAATAATTTCCAAGCTGATGGCACATTCTGCAGGGTCCGTGGCTGATTTGGTGGAGGTAAATATTTTACCTAAATCAATAATAAAGCAGATTAAAATTAAAATTGACCACAAAGTTTCGTCTCTGTAAGTATGTTTCAGGCTGCTCCTTCTCGTGCTGTTTTGGTAGGTTGGTGTCCGCGTGGAAGGCCTCACAGACGTCATCATGAAACGAAATATCCCGTTTGCTGAATATCCCACGTACAAAAAGATAAAGGAGATTGGGAAAGCTGTAGGTATTTTCAGTAATGCAATGTGTGGGTTCTCTGAAGGGGTATTTAGTGAGGCTTCTCATACCAGTTCAGCCCTGTCTCAGAAGGTACACTACCCGCCTAGCAGTCAGCTAGAGTATTGCTGTGAAAGAGGGATCTGCAGGGGACATCACTCCTGCGATGGCTTCTGCAGATCCTCGCTCTGGCCCTGCCTCCTCCCTGCTCATCTATGGCACCGGAATACAAGACACGGGACAGGAGGCTGTTGGTGGGCACCTCAGCGACGGGGGGCAAGTCTGAGTTAGCCACGCTGTGCTGTTTGCAAAGCAGCGATGGAGAACTGCAGCTTGGTCAGCGGTGGGTTTGATCACTGTGCTGAATTACCATCGTAAAGTGTTGTGTTAAGGAACTTTCCTTGTTTGTCTGTTCCCTAGCTGCTGGGATGGAAGGAGCTACCAACAGAAACCCCCTTGATATCAGCCTACTTGAAACTGTTTGGCCAAGAGCTGGCTTATGTCAACATCAACAAGGAAGTCCTGCAGCAGGCTGTGAAGGTACCAGGCGCCCCTACTTCTCTCTGCAAGATTTGACACCATTGTTACTTTTATATCCCAACTTCTTGGACCTCTGTTTTACTGCAGACTGTGCTAGAGCCCGCTGACAGGAACACGGTGATGAAAAGAATCGCCAGCCAAATCCGCAGTGGCATTGCAGGACAGTGGACGCAGCCGGTGTGGCTGGGAGAGCTGCGCTACGTCATTCCTACCTGCACCGGTCTGCCGCTGGAGTACGGGTCGTACACGACTGCTCTGGCACGTGCGGCGGTCAGTGGTGAGTGGGGAAGTACGAGACCAGCCATGCCAGCTCTGAGCAGGGGATGAGTGGGACAGGCCAAGAGGGGCTGGAGAAAGAAGTGGGAAAACGGGAAAAGAACGAATTTTTGTGGCGGAGGGGAGGTAGTGAAGGTGTTTGAAGAGAAGCTGGACACAGCTGATTGCTGCCTCATCTTTGAATGGATTGAAGACAGAGAAGGTGAAGTGAGAGTCTGGGAAACCAGAGAGAGAATGGTCAGGGCATTCCAGGCCAGAAAAAAGAAGAGCTGCTTGGGGAGCTGACGCAGAGGTGGGCAGAAGGGGGTGGCTCCTGAGAGCTGCGCACACAAGCTAAGCAGGATTCCATGGTGATTTAAATAGAGAATGAAACAGAAGACAGTCAAAAGAGAACTACTAGTAACATCAGAGAAGGCAGGGAGAGAAGAGGGCTTGTGAAAAGAGACAGAGAGCTCTGTTTTAAAAGAATAAATGGGCAAGTACGAATACTTATCAACAAGCTAATTCATTGATCGTACTGTTTGTGGTGCAGATGACTTTTAATTTAAGCAAAACTGACCCTTTCTTCTGCTGACACCACATGAGGAATGAAGGGTGAAGTACATGTATTTGTGCTCTTTATAGCAGTCTCACTCTTCACTGCTCTCGGGTCATGGTTTGTTAGTTTGATTTAATAATATCTTTGAACACCTGCCCCTTGTTTTGTGGGTGTTTTAGTTTATATTTTTTTTAAAATAACATCCTTGTAGCCGCGTTGGGGAGGTACGGCTTGGATGGATGGGCTGCGAGGTGAGTGAAGGCTGCCTGGACTGCTGGTCTCCAAGAGCAGTCAACAGATGAAAGTCTGATTGGTGTCTCGTTATGAGCAGCGCTCCTCCATCGTTAAGCACTTGCTCGTTGCCTCATTTAAGAATCTGAACTTTGGAAAAGAAGGCACCCTCAGCAAATCTGTGTCAATGATGACATTGAATCGGTGGGAGCAGTCGCTGCGCTGGGGGGTCAGGCTGCCACCCTAGGGGAACCCTGACAGGCTGGAAGGGATGGCCCGATGGAAGCGTGATGAAATTTGACAAAGGCAGTGCGAAATCCTTCACCTGGGATGGAGTCACCCGCGCGAGCGTATAGGCTGGGCATCACCCAGGCAGAAAGTAGCTGCAGGAAAGGGCCAGGGAGGCCGGCGGACGAGCTGGTACAGTGAATCAGCAGTGTGCTCTTGTGGTGATGAAGGCCAACTGCATCGTTGGCTGCAGCAGCGAGAGCGGAGCTAGCCTGAAAAGGATTTCCCCCCTTTATTTAGCACATTGGAGGCTGCATCTGGAGTACAGTGTCCTCAGTACAAGAAAGAAGTTCAGACTTGATGTGAGGAAAGGTTGGAGAGCAGGGTTTGTTTAGGCCGGTTGCCCACCATTCACTCTGTCTTCTGGCTCCTCGTGTTTCTGAAATTGTGTTGTACTAATTAACAAATTTCAGTTCGGGTCAGCTCTTCATTTTCATGCTATGCTTTTATTTCCATTTTCAACACGTTGCATCAGAACCTTTGCCTACAGAACGAGCTTTCTGTATGTTTTCAGTACCCCAAAGTCTGTCTTGTTTTCCAGCCATATTTGTTGTATGAACGAAAATATTACCTCTTCCTGAAAACGGCGTCGTGCTTAAACTCAAATCCTTTCTTTCACTTTTACCATGTTTAAATGTCGTTCTGTCCTTTGCAGTTGATGGAAAGATGACCCCCCCTTTTACCGGGGATTTTAAACCTTCCCAATTGCTTGAATCCACCATACAGATTCGGTCTGACATAAGCCCAAGGTACGGCAGGTTTCTAAGGCTTTACACGTAGTTAAAGGTTTTTTTATGAAAAGGCAGATCCACATGTTAAAAAATTGCACCTTTCTTACACCTGATGGTTTCGCTCCGTTTCAGCTTGTACGTACATACAGTCGCAACAATGGGGGTCAACACGGAGTACTTCCAACACGCTGTTGAAATTGAAGGCAAGGTCCTGACAAAGGTGCCAATGAAGTTTGACGCCAAGATAGACATGAAACTGAAAAATATTAAGATTGAAACAAGTCCGTGCCATGAGGAAACCGAGATAGTGGTTGGAAGGTACAGAAGCATTGCTCCAGAACACTTGCTGTGCCTGAAACCTTTAATTTGTTTGTTATTTTGTGTTTATAACTTTTACTTGTTTATTGTTTTATTGCCCTTTAATTTTTATTTTTAAATGGATGCCTTTCACGTTTTGGAAACTTGTTTAAATTTGTCCAGATTTTGAAAACTTCCCGTGATATAAGAAACTGGTGTTTGTCATGAGCTCGTATTTGTCTTTAATAATATTTATACTTACATTTGCATATACAATCCCTATGTTCAAACAACACATCTCTGTGCTCTTGCATGATACTGCAAGGGGTGTATTTCACTTAGTCCAAAGACAAGGGATTGGAATAATTCACCATTTTTTTTGCACGTATCTCAACAGACATAAGGCTTTTGCTGTGTCAAGAAATATAGGAGAACTAGGTATTGAAAAGAGGACCTCAATTCTCCCAGGAGATGCTTCATCAAATATTGCGGAAGAACCTTTCAAACCATCAGAGAGAGCTTCCAGTGAAGATTTCACAACGGTAACCTATTCCTTTTTGCTCGTATAGTAATATTTACCCTGTCAGTGATGCACGTGTCTGCAGTTTTACTGTTGCCTGTGATATGCTCCCAGTGGTATTCACATACTCCTCTCCCATGCAGCAGGGAGCTGACAGCACGCCACAGAAACATGACTATAGCTCTCAAGAGGATCTTCGCCATGGCACGGGAGGAAAAACTCATAAACGAGACATTTGCATCAAACTGCATCGTCTTGGTTGTCAGCTCTGCTTCTCCAGAAGGTCACGAGATGCCAGTTTCCTAAAAAATACGTATTTGCACAGATTAATTGGAGAACATGAAGCTAAAATAGTCTTGATGCCAGGTACAATATTGAGCCACGAGCCTTGTCATCTTAGTTTTGGTGGTGCTATTTGAAGCAGAATAACCTTCTAATGTGTGTAATTGGTGTGTAGTTCAAACAGATGCTGATATGGACAAAATTCAGCTGGAGATTCAGGCAGGATCCAGAGCAGCTTCCAAAATAATTGACGTGGTAAATTCAGAGTCTGAGGAAGAGGAGGAGACATCTCCATACGACGACATTCGAGCTAAACTGAAGAAGATTCTAGGCATTGAAAGTGTGTTCAAGGTAGGGGACTTCGAGCATGATGGTGAGGGGAGATATTTTCCCATAAATGAAGCCAAGCATTTGAAGTTCAGCGTGGAAAGCTGGCATGGGAAAGCAAGGATGGAGCTAGTTTGAAAGGTGCCAGCACCAGGCCCATCGGCCAGTGCCACGTCCAGAGGGATGGATCCAGAGGGGTAGGAGCGTCCAGCTGGGGCTGGTCCTCTGTGCTGGGCTAGATTTCAGCTGGGCAGCGTGGATCTAAGGGACTTCTGCACCTTCTGCAGTGAGTGAGGCAGGGAAGTTGTTGGTCCTGGAGAGGCTGATGTGAGCAGCTTGTCTGACACCCAGGGAAGTTTCACTTTGTAAATACAGACCCAGATATATCCATCTCGTGCTTCTCTTTGAACTGGTTTCGCAGGTTGCGAATAAAACACGACGCCAGAAGAAGCAACCTTCTAAGAAAGGAAACACTATGCTAACAGAGCTTGGGACAGACCCCAGCGGAAAAAAACCCGTCAGCTCATCTTCTGCCTCCTCAAGTGTCTCCTCTTCTTCCTCATCTGCTGCTTCACCTGATCGCAAAAAGGCTGTGGATGAAGATGAGAATGATAAAGTAAAGCAAGCGAGAAACAAAGATGCAAGCAGCAAGAGCAGCAGCAGTAGTGGCAGGAGCAGCAGTAGTAGTAGCAGCAGCAAGAGAAGTGGCGGCAGCAGCAGCAGTAGTAGCAGCAAGAGAAGCAGCAAAGGTAGTAGTAGCAGCAGCAGTAGTAGGAGGAGCAGCAGTAGCAGCAGCAGCAAAGGTAGTAGTAG